GCTCAGCAAATGTCTGGTAAGTCTATTTCGCCACAAACTCCCGAATATCTCTCCTTAGAACATTCAGATACCGACTCATACGAGCCTGCTCGGTAGACACCTGCTCAGGGCAAAACATCGCCCTCTCATGAAACTTCCTGGTAACAACTGTGACAGAATTAGTACCCTACTTTAGGGTCAAGAACTCCTAAATCAACCGTTCCCTCTCCATCGAGGGAACATAGTCGTCTCTGAACATGGCGGTGAAACTCTCCCAAGTCACCTCAGAAATCTCTGCCAGAGTGAAGCTTGCCGTCACGAACTTCCACCAATCCTTTGCTCCCAAGCGAAGTTGGTTCAGAGCGAACCGTACCCTCAAGTGCTCTGGATAAGAACACGTATAGAAACACCCCTCGATGTCAGAAATCCATCTCATCGCAGCAATTGGGTCCTGCATTCCATCGAACTCTCGTGGCTTCGTGTTGCTGAATTCCCGGAACAACAACGAGTCACCTCCCTGAGGTCTGGCAGCAGCAACAACAATAGTAGCTGTAGCAGCCGCAACCTCAGTCACTGCTGCATGCTGTTCGTCAAAGGTCTCAATCAATGTGGTCTTGATGTCCCCGAACATCTCTGGAATCTCAGCCCGGATGGCAGCAACCACCTCCTCATGAATCAATCGACGGATCTCCTCGTCGCTGACACCACTACTCCCAGTTGTGTGTCGTGTCCCAACCATGATGTCTCTGAAATACAACATAAAAATATCAGAGACTCGATTGAGCATGCTCGCACTCGATAACACAACCCTACTCGTCCTCGAATATCCAAAGGCTTCTTACATGGACTGATCCGGTGTCTTCAGTAGTACGGGCGCTATACTATCGACCACACCGCATCGACATTCACCCCAAGTCCTCTCCTTGGATCCCGGATCACAAGTACTCTACTCTCGCTATGCATTGGCTACCCTCCGATAGACCTCTCATTAGCTCCTAACTGATACCTACTCACTCTGAAGACATCCCATAGCAACAGTAATCTCCTAGGCTAAGGCATCACAAATCAGGCCACTCTAGTCTTAATATGAATACCTAGCCCACTCTAGCATGCATAACGTAAGGGTATTTTGGGGATTCACCGGGGCACTGGCTGACCGTACACACTAAACTACTCTTCTCTTTTTAAACCTTTTACTCTTTCAAAAACTTGTTTTATAAATAAAAATCTCTCAAATCCTCCGTTTTAGTTCAAATACGCCCGAAGGTGCATCCGAATCCCTCAAACCAAGGCTCTGATACCAACTTGTAACGACGAGATTTTCAAACATTTTTTTTTTCATTTTTCAACAACCATATTTTAAATATAAAACATTCTCAAAAAGTGTTTCACAATAGTTATTAATCAAACATGTCCCCAAGATCATAAATCAAATCTCCTCTCGGTATGTACGGTTCATGCCGGTGCTTTCCCACGGTCCTCGCTAGTACATGAAACACATAACACAACAAATGTAAGCATAAATGCTTAGTGAGTTCCCCAAAATACCACATACAACACATATGCCACTCGAGGCTACTGTACGACCCTCCGGTCGATGTGTCTCAGCGGGACCCTCCAGTCCCGTAGCTCGTTGGACCCTCCGGTCCGGTCTCTATCGTTGGACCCTCCGGTCCGATCTATACCATCATATATCATACATATATCACATAGCACACAACTCATTCGTAACACATAATCTCATACATAGCACATAGGACCCTCCAGTCAACATATAAATACCACTCTAGGTAACGTATAGTGAGAAGACTCACCTCGTGTAACTCGGTAACTCGGAAATCTCGGTCTCCATGAAATAGGATCTAGCCTCCGCCTAATCATACGGAAATAAACACTCGGAATCAACATAACTTCCAAGACTAGACCATTCCCTCTCTTAGCACTCTTAGGAGGGTAAAAGACCCTTTTACCCCTTTCAAGGCTCAAATACTCTAAAGTTAACCAAACCCTAAAAGTCAACAAAAGTCAACGGTCAACCCTTTGATCAAACTCGCCAAGTGCACAATTGTGACTCGGCGAGTTCAGTCATGAACTCACGTCCTCAAAACCCCGAATAACTCACTGAGCCACTTCCCCAACTCAGCGAGTTACCATCTGCGTAATGTGTGGGGGAAACTCATCCTACTCGACGAGTCTGTTCTTAGACTCGGCGAGTTCAAGCCATGCTCAAACTCAAATGACCTTCATAGGTCAGATCTGCTCCTCTAATCCATAGATCTAACCTCCCCAAGCTCAATAAACACGTAAAGGTTCGAACTTGATACACATGCAACGTCCAAATGACACTACTTGATGATTTGGTCCCAAATACAACACTCTAAGTTCATTTCTTCCATAACCCAATATAAAGTAAGATGGATAACCTTCTCTGGACCACTATGGGTCCAGATCTGAAGTCTAGACACGATAAGGGGCCTTATTCTCAATAAATCACCCAATAAAGGGCATAAAAACCCTAGATCCATGGATGCTTTAACAAAACAGAAAGAGGGTCGATTTCCTACCTCAAAGATGATGCCCTCTGCTTGAAATCCATACACATGCAACCTCCTTGGCCTCCTCCAAGATGGAATCAACTCCTTCTTGCAAAACAATCCCACAAAAGTCCAATAATGGCTTCTTCTCTCTCACAAACGCTTAAACACGATAAGGGTTTCTCTCAAGGGTCTGGTAGCCACAAATGGTGGCTATAACCTTTAAATATGTTTCAAACCCCGGGGATTAGGGTTTTATTAAACAGCGTGGACTCGCCGAGTCCGCCATTAAATCAACCATCCGCGCTCCTACTCAGCGAGTCTGAGCGCCTACTCGCCGAGTCTCTCTCCAAAAACTCAATATTAAAGCATAAATAAGATACCTGGGAGTCCGAATGTTACAGCATAATAGTCTTTTCTGTTTATTGAGGGAGCAAAAACACAAAGAAACTAGCTCAAAAGGAGCACTAATCCAAAAAAGCATTGGTTTAGACCTACCCCCCCCCCCCCCCCCCCCAAAATGCATACCACATGGACCATTTTTGTAGTTTTGTCTGTTTTATATTTTAAATAATTATGCATGTCTGTACAAAGAACTTACATGCCCCTTTTGTGGTTGAAGAATGGACACGCCCCCTTTCTTTCAAAATCATTTTTTTAAAACAAATTACAAAATAACTAATAATGATATAAAGTTAACGATTTTTTTCAAGTTTTCATTTTATTCAAAAAGTTATCACAAAAAATAATCTGAATTTAAAATTTAAATCTCAAAAATCATAATTACAAATTTAACTCTACCAAAAAGTTAAAATACTTACGTTCAAGAAAACACAAAACATTCTTTTAAACCTATAAAATGTTAAAGAAGAAAAATCTTAAATTAAAAAAATATAAACACTAACCATTCCATGTCATCTCCGCTTCAGTCATCAATCTCTCGTAACATCAATAATAATTCTCCATTCTTAAATCGTTACTCTATGTAGACGTTGTCTCATTGTCTTGAGATCTCATCGGTTTTCATCTTGAACTCTCAACCTCTCGTTGTATGTAAGGTGCTGTTTGATTTTCTAAAGTAAAAATTCATAAAGTCTGCGGACCACCTCTGCAACCCTCTGCAGTAGAAGAGGTGGACCAAACGGCTGCAGACTATAATAAGAAGCGTGTTTGTTTTTTTAACATCTGCATACTGCTGCAGATATTAAAAAATTAAAATAAACTAATTTTATAAACCGAAAATAGCTTTTTAATACGTAAAATTTAATAATGTATAACATTTCGGTAAAAATTAATGATATTTCAGTAAAAAAGAATGATATTTCAACAAAAAATAAAGATATTTTCAGTAAAAAATAGTAATATTTCATCAAGAAATTATCATTATTGAATATAAAAAAAATGAAAAATAAATTCAATAAGAATAAACGAAAAAAAGGGGAAAAAATGTGAAATAAAATTTTAATAAAATATAATCAAAATTTCAGCAATAAAAAAAGAAGAAGAGGTTGGAAGAGGCAGTACAA